TAGAATTTGGCATCTTTCTGGTTGTTGAGCTAGTTTAATTACCTTTTATAAGGTTTAAGATTTTAGGTTCTTCTCGTAATGATGATTTTTTGTAGGGATCGAAATAAGTAGCAATTGGAAGGTTCAAGTTCAAGTGGTTACAGCCCAGACTGTAACAATCTCTGCCAGGTCTGAAAAAAAAAAAAAAGACATGTCAGACGTTGTCTTCGCCGAAGGATCTCGTAATACACACAATGCCTTTTCCAATCCCACTAAACACGCAACATCACCTTCTCTGGATACAAACCAGTTAACGGCGATTCTTGTTTTCTTCAGAACATTTTTCGTTTCCCATTGTTGTAAACAATCTATTTTTCATCGCATGCCTTCGAGCTGAGAATTGCAGATAAAAATGTGCTTCATTAGATTTCTGTCGTTAAATTGTGAGGAATCACCAAAATATTGTTATGTTAGCTGTTCACATATACACATGCTTTCAAATGCCTTACACCACTCATGCGAGATAGTTATTTTCTAAGCATAGCTTAGATGTGGCACAAGGCCGAAAGTATGGGGCAAAATCAAACTCACTTTTCAGTTGTAACTGATCTAGTGAGACAAGCTTGCTAACCATTACACCACGCCGATGTGCCCTAGTGATTTTCTAAGTCTAGCTTAGATGTGGCACAAGGCTGAAAGTATGGGGCACCTAGTGAGGATCGAACTCACTTTTCAGTCATAACTGATTTAGTGAGACAAGCTTGCTAACCATTATACCACGCCGAGGAGCCCTAGTGATTTTCCAAGCGTAGCTTAGATGTAGCACAAGGCCGAAAGTATGGGGCACCTAGTGAGGATCGAACTCACTTTTCAGTCGTAACTGATCTAGCGAGACAAGCTTGCTAACCATTGCACCACGCCGAGGTGCCCCCACTCATGCGAGATATAGCGAGTATAACTGCAACGTCCTGTATCCTGCGACTTGGATTACTTTTAAGCAGGTTTTCATTAGGCTATCATCAATGATTACTGGTCTACATTCTCGTTCTTTCATATCAAATTTTTAATTTATGAGGCCAAAGAACCACACACTATTAATACTCTCAGCGACGACACCGTCTCCATAAACGGCACATGTCTATTTTGCTGTTTATACGCGGTTCTTTTGTTGTAGCTGTTTTAATTTCTGTCAATAAAAGAGCAACAAAGGTATCTCATTTTCCTGCATTGATGCAAAAACATTTCAAGTTCAAAATCCACGCATGAATCCTATAGAAAGATGTGGTAAAATCTCACCCATGACCGAGTTCGCTTTGCGACCCTGCGATCCGGTTTCGAATCTCAGCATGGTCGATTTGTCAGGAAGGCGACTTCTAGATGTTATCGGGCTGAGGGAGGCGATCCCATTGTGCGGCACCTTTGTAAGGTGCCTGAAAAACTACATCATATGTTGACCCAAATGTTGTGAGTGAAATTGGGTTGTGATAGCACGAAGTCTTAAGTCATCGTGACCGAGGGTTTGAGTGTGCTTCCCTTCTTCAGACTGTTGATCACTTCAGATAATGCGCGTTCTCTCTCTCTCTCTCTCTGTGTGTGTGTGTGTGTGTGTGTGTGTGTGTGTGTGTGTGTGTGTGTGTGTGTTCAAACACCACCTATTTTAAAACATTACGAACGTTTATTTCAGGCAAAAGACAAAACGATCTTTGTGTCCGGAATAGAAAGTTTAACTGAAAAAAATATTAGTCCTTTTGTACTGTCGTAGGGCCAACGGTATAATTTCACCCGTTCTTGCAAGTGGGTGACTTACTCTTTGGATTCCAATAGAGTTGTGGCCTTGTTAGGGCCAGAAATAAAGACACAAGAGAGGAATTAAGTTGAGCAAATATATTAACAGCAACAGTAATGCAAACATATACAAACGAGTGTGTTACATCAAAAATGTTCGGTCCGACTGTCAGAGCTGACTGCTGGAAACTTCCCTTTCCAAAAGGCAGTACCTGCTCCTATTTATAGCTGGGAGAGTCCATGCGTGCGTGGGTAAATTACCAGAAAAAAATACTATATTGAAATTTTATTCTGTCCTCTCACCATACCAATCTTCTGCTTCCTTACTAAATCTGACCCACAAACGTTTTACTCGCAATTAGAGACGGAAGTGTGTGTGTGTGGGGGGGGGGGGGTTATAGATATGTTTGTAATCTAATCAATCAGACATCGGGTTTCGATCCCGGCTTGAGGCAATAGCTACACAGAGTTTTTGCCTTACCAGTTGCACCCTTGATGATGATCTTAGAAGAGATATAAAGGACTTGGAAAATAAAAGTTGCTGTCACTGTTACAGTGCATTTCTTGCATTATTTGATTGTAATATACGGAAAAATATTCATGAATATGAAAGGATTATGATAAAAATAAGCATATATATATATATATATATATATATATATATATATATATATATATATATATTGGGTAACTATTCCACTGTCGGAATGTCGGCGACTAAGCCAGCTACCTACTC